ATTATCCAGCAATGTGAGAAGCCACAGTATACATAATTTTATTATTATTAGTTAAGTGCTAAAGTTGTTTTCTTGCCTTAATATTGGAGCAGAGGAACCCTAAAAGCTTGGACTAAAATGGGTGCAAAACTGAAAAAAATGGATGTTAAAGTATGATTCCTAAAATCCTTTTTACCATTTTATTAAAGTCTTCACATGGTTTCATACAAATACTATTCTCAACTGAAAAAATCTTCCCCTTTAAACATTAAAAGGTTGCTATTGAGTAGCTGGGACCACAGATGTGTGCCAGTGCCCTTGGTTCTCTTGGAGCTTGTAGTTTTTTTTTTTCATCATTTTTTTTTTATTGGTTGTTCAAAACATTACAAAGCTCTTGACATATCATATTTCATACATTAGATTCAGGTGGGTTGTGTGGAGCTTGTATTTTGATGGAAGGTAATAGACAAAAGCTGAATACATGCTATCAGGCAGTAAGGTCCAAAAAAATAGAAATAGAATAAAAAGGAATAGAGAGTGATAGCAGTGGGCTGTTGCCTTTAGAAAGGATGGAAGGGTTCTCTGCAGTGACTTTGAATAAAGATCTGAAGAGGGACTAATCCCCAAGGATCTGGCAGAATAACATTCATGGAAAGCAACTGTCAAAAATCGTGAGAAGGGAGCTTTTGGTGTATTTGAGGAAAAAGAATCTGCTAGAGCAGGATGTGCTGGGGAGCAGTAGGTGATATCAGAGAATGATGAGGGGCTTGGTCCTTTACAAGTATGGGTTAGGGTTTTGAGCATGAAAATTGATATGCGTCCCACATTGCTAATCATTTTATATCCTTATCAAGTAATCTCTCCTTTTCCATTAATGTCATATCTTTCTCATACATTTTAAGAATTTAACTTCTTCAATCAATAATGTGAAGAGATAGCCCACAGAATGGGAGAACATCTTTACTACACACACATCAGATAGAGCGTCAATTTCTAGAATATATAAAAAAACTCAAAAAACACCCCAAAAAACCAAAACCAAAAACAAAACCCCAATCAATAAATGGGCTAAGGAATTGAACAGACACTTCTCAGAAGAAGATATACAATCAATCACAAATGTATGAAAAAATATTCAACATTTCTAGCAATCGCATGATTCTGCTACATTTGTGTACAATGAGTTGAAATGCATTCTTCCCTCATGCTCCCATTGCGTTAGAGAAATGAAAATTAAAAGTACACTGAGATTTCATTTCACTCCAGTCAGAATGGCAATTATCAAGAATACAAGCACCAATAAGTGTTGGCAAAGCTGTGGAGGAAAAAAGGTACATTCATACATTGCTGGTGGCACTGCAAATTGGTGCAACCACTCTGGAAAGCAGTATGGAGATTCCATAGAAAACTTGGAATGGAACCACCATTTGACCCAGCTATCCTACTTCTCGGTCTATACCCAGTGGACTTAAAATCAGCATACTATAGTGACACTGCCAATTCACAATAGCTAAACTGTGGAACCAACCTAGATGCCCTTCAGTAGATGAATGGATAAAGCAACAGTGGTATATATACAAAATAGAATATTATTCAACATTAAAAGAGAATCAAATTATGGCATTTGCACGAAAGTGGATGGATTTTGAGAATATCATGCTAAGCGAAGTAAGCCAATCCCCCAAAACCAAAGGTTGAATGCTCTCTCTGATAAGTGGATGCTGATCCACAATGGGTGCAGGGGCATGGGATGGATGGGGAAACTTTGGGCAAAGGAGAGGAAGGGAAGAGGTGGGGGAATGAGCGCAGGAAAGATGGTGGAATGAGATGGACATCATTACCTACGTACATGTATCACTGCACATATGGTGCGACTCTACATCATGCACAACCAGAGAAATGAAAAGTTCTGCTCCATTTGTGTAAAAGTGAGTTAAAATGCATTCTGCTGTCATGTATAAGTAGTGAGAACAAATAAATAAAAATATTTGAAAGTTAAAAAAAATTCTTTTTATGCCCTGTTTTAATTGTCTCTTCCTTTGCCAGTATTACATTTAAAAAATATTTTTTGTTGTAGATGGACACAATATTTTTATTTATTTATTTTCATGTGGTGCTGAGGATTAAACCCAGTGCTTCACACATGGCTAGGCAAGCACTCTACTGCTGAGCTACAATCTCAGCCCCAGTATTCTACTTTTAATGATTGTTTTAATGTCTGGTAAGTTTTCCCCTTATTCCTTTTTTTTTTTAAAATAAATTTCTCCTTTATTTATATGAGGTGCTAAGAATCGAACCCAGTGTGTCACACATGTCAGGCAAGTGTGCTGCTGCTGAGCCCCACTCTCTTACTTTATTTTTTAGGATCTTCTTTGACCTTCTTATTTGTTTATTCTTTTAGGTTCCTGAAAAACTTTCTGAAAAAGTTGGGATTTAATTAAAATTGTATTCTGTGGAAATTCATTTGGAGAGAAATGGAATCTATTGAATTTTCCCATTAAGGGACAAATATATATCATGAAAGTTTAAAATATTCCATCTTTTTTACTTATCTCAGTCAATAAGAAATATACATTTTTGAAATGATTGGTTATGGAGCTCATATAGGTAGCGAAGTTATTTTGCTTAATTCAAATTATATTTCATTGTGTTCTTATTGTATGTCAGGTACTTTAGACATTGAGTATAAAAATGAGGCTCTGTCATGGGATTTCATCTAGTTAGCAGGAGTTCAGAATTTATTTTTGGTATTAGGACAGAATTTTATGATATAAATCATATTATCTTCTTTCCCTCTGCCTAAAGGAATGGTTTCTCAAAAGTGCCCTAAGGTAGAGTGAAAGTAACACTGAATTGCAGACCTTTATAAGTCATCTTTCTATTTGGTAGTTAGAAAAACTAGACTGATTATTTTCTTGGTTAATGTTTAAAAATATTTTTTCCTCACAAAGAAATAATTTTTATCAGTTCCAGTTTTATATATTAGCAGTTCTATAAATTGACTCTAAAGTAAATCCCAAACCCATATGCTTCTCTATATTAAAGACCATCTCTTTGAATTCTGAATGTCTAGTCCAAACCACCACTGCCTTTGACCAGCATTATTGGAGTCACTACTAGTCTCTGATTTTTCTCTTACTCATGTGTATAAGCCATTTTCCACCCAGCCTCTACAATGACCTTTTAAAAAATATTGTGATGGAGATTCTTAAAACTTAAAAACTAGAATAGTATAATTAATTGATATGTGCCTCATTCTCCTTCAGGAATTCTCAGTAATGGCTTCTCTCCTTATATCTTGTCCTACAACCTGGATTATTTTAAGGCAGTTCCAGATAGTATGCCATTTCATCTGTAAATATTTCAGTGTGTCAAATATAGCTAAGCACTCCTTTAAAAATTACATGATGGTAGTACAACTCTGAACATATTAAAAACTATTTAATTGTGTACCTTTAATTAGTAAATTGTATGGTATGTGAATTTGTATCAGAGTTACTAACAGAAGCACAATAGCATCCTATTAATATGGTAATTTCTTTTTAAAACATTTATTTTTTAGTTGTAGTTGGACACAATACCTTTATTTTATTTACTTATTTTTATGTGGTGCTGAGGATCGAAACCAGGGCTTCATGTGTTCTAGGTGAGCGCTCTACTGCTGACCCACAACCCCAGCCTGGTAATTTCTTAACATTATGAAATAGCTCAAACTCACTTTGACAGTTTAAACATAAGTCAGATCATCTTACTCTTATTCGAAACGCTGTGGTGGCTTTCTGTCATATTTAGATTAAAACTCTGTTTTTTTATACTGTCTCACAAATGTCTGGCATGTAAAGCCCTTGTATGGTATAGCCTTTCTAACTTGATCTCTTGCCCACTAATTCATTTCTGCCTCCCTGAAGTCCTTTGCATTAGCTCTTCTCTTTGCTGGAATGCCTTTCCACTCTGTTTTCATGAGGCTCACTCCTTTTCTGTATAAATATCCCTTCCTAGGAAGGTCTTCCCAGGTGAGTCCCTCAACCTCCAATCTAAAATATCCCATCCAGTCTGTGAAATCTGTCATTTAAAAAATCTTGGCATAATATAGTTCATTGCCTGATATGTCTTTTTAAATCACTAACATTCTTTCCTTATTTCTGTTCTTTTCCTATCCTCCTATCCCATTTTTGTTTAATGTTCACTGCTGAATCCCCAGTGCCTACAGTGGCGATTGACACATAATAGACTCTCTTGAAAAGAAATGTGCGATGCGTGATGGCATATGTCTATAATCCCAGTAATTTGGGAGGCTTAGACAGGAGGATCTCAAGTTCAAGTCTGCCTCAGCAACTTAGTGAGGCCCTAAGCAACTTAGCAAGACCTTGTCCTAAAATTTTAAAAAATAAAATAAAAAGGGATAGAGAGATGGCTCAGTGGTTAAGCACCCCTGTGTTCAATCCCTAGTACTTTCCCTCACCACAAAAAAGAAAGAAATGTATACAAAAAGTTGCCAATACATGTCAAGTGTTTGCAATTTATAAAAGGGCTACGTAATGATTTAAGTTTATACAATGTTTAAATAACTAAATTATAATCTGTTCATATTGTTTTAAACTATGTGTAACTTTAATTTTTTTTGATTTTTTACTGGTGGGATTCATTGTTACATATTCACACATGCACAATATAATTTGGTATATTATAAATACATTATAAATAAATATAACAATATAATTTGGTAGATTGTGGTAATTTGTTACAGCAATCTTGGAAAATGGTGATTTAAGACCAAAAAGCTTGACAGATCTCAGAGTGTTCTGAGGTTAATCTGATTTGCTGGGTTAGTAGCTGCTAAAAATGAGACCCTAAAGAATTGAGATGGCAACTTCCCATAGGTGATTGTTTTGCAGAGTAGGGTGGTAGAAATGGGGTAGTGTAATTGATGGAAGAATGAAGATGCTTCAATTGCAGTTGCAGCATCAACTTTATAGTACAATTGAGCTCATTGTGGCTTTTTCCCCTTGTATTTTATACAGAACAGAAACCTCTTGACCTTGCCCAGGGTGCTGAGATGAAACATATTCTTGTTGGTAACAAGGTATGTAATAATGGGTTAAATGTACATAATAATTTTAGAATTTTTTCTAAAATATTGAAATATATAGATGCATTTTTAACAAAACGTATTTTTGATAGGTCATCTACAAAACTTTGAAACGATATGAAGGTCCTCTCTGGAAGGTAAGTTCATATGGCTTTTTAAATTTCCTCCTCCATTGATGCACCTTCGCCTCCAACTCCATTTCTGGATCTATTGCTTTATTGCTCTTCCTTTTTAGTTTCCAGACCTCATTCTGCTATGGGGAGTCCTCTTTTGCTCCATGCTCACTATGTCAGGGGCTCTCCAGTAGAAACATTGGGTTTCAGGAATTTAGTGAAGGAAAGGTGTTTGTGGCCTCAAAAGGAAGATGTCAGAGAGAAAGGACAGGAGAGCCTAGGGGACCTGGCACCACTGGGAGGGCAAGCCACAAGGGACAGGTGGTCTTGAAAAAGATGTGGGGGTCTCTCTTGAGACAGCAGGAGAATAGACAGGGGGCAGTCTGTGAAGAAGAGATCTGAGGGTTCCATTATAATTGCTTTTATTTTCTCATTGAAGAGAGAATCAACATGATTGGCTATAATATTGAGTTGATATGAGGGTTGGGAGTTCGAAAAGTGAATGTTAATTTGAGTCTTACCGAGTTGTTTCAGAGACTGAATTTTGTCCCCTGATATTTGTCTTCAACTCTGGAAAACTTCCTTACAGATGAGGTATAGAATATATTGATTGTTACATGTCCATACTTTATTGCCACCTATGGGTAACTCATCAATTTACTTGATGTTGTCCCTTAACAGGAACCAGTTAACATCTTTACAAGTGAGGAGGATCTCTGTAACTTTTATGTCCCCACTGCCCCCTCTTTATGTCACAGGACATAAAATGAGACCACCAGTAAACATCTATAGTTAAAGCTGACCTAGATTAAACTCCTTAAAATGGTGGCATCAGTGTCTTTTCTTTTTTCTTTTTGGTACTAGGGATGCTCCACTACTGAGCTACATCACCAGCTGTTTTTTGTTTTTTTTTAGTTTTAGAAAATTTTTTAAAAATTTGAGGCAGGGTCTTGCTAAGTTGCTGAGGCTGGCCTTGAACTTGAAATCTCCCTGCTTTAGCCTCCCAAATTGCTGGGATTACAGGCCACTGCCATTGCATCTGATGTGTCAGTGTATTTTCAAATCCAAAATGGCCAATCTCCTTCTTTCACATTGCTGCTTGTGAAAGTTGCTGCTCAGATTCTAAGGATCAAATTGTTCTGGGCATATCTACTAGGATGACTATAAAACAAAACAACAAAAATGGAAAAGAACAAGTTTAGATAAGGATGTGAAGAAGTTGGAACCCTTGTCCACTGGTGGGAATGTCCAATGGTGCAGACACTGGAAAACAGCTTCACAGTTCCTCCAAAAATTAAACAGAATTTTCATATGACCAGAAATTCCACTCATGGCTATGTGCTAAAGGAATTTCAAAGAGGAATTCAAACTTAATTGTGTGCAAATGTTCATCACAGCATTATTCACAATAACCCAAAGGTGGCAACCGCTTAAGTCTATCAGTAATCGAATTGAGAACACAAAATGTGGTAAATGCATACAATGAAATATTACCAAGTCTTAAAAAGGAATGAAATTCTGAGCCGGGTATGGTGGTGCACTCCTGTAATCCCAGTAGTTTTGGAGGCAGGAGGATTGTGAGTTCAAAGCCAGCACAGCAAAAGCAAGGTTGCTAAGCAACTCAGTGAGACCCTTTGTCTAAATAAAATACAAAATAGGGCTGGGGATGTGGCTCAGTGGTGGAGAGTGCCCCTGAATTCAATCCCTGGTACCAAAAAATAAAAAAATAAATAAATGAAAAACTGATGTGGGTGCTTTGGCTCTCGCCTGTAATCTCAACTGCTTGGGAGGCTGAAGCAGGAGGATCCCAAGTTTAAGGTCAGCCTCAGCAACCTGGCAAGACTCTGTCTCAAAATAAAACATGAAAAGGTCTTGGAACTGGGGATATAGCTCAGTGGTTAAGCTCCCCCGGTTCAATCCCTGATACCAAAAAAAAAAAAAAAAAAATTCATTTCTCTTAAAAACTTTTCAGTCATTTCTGAAGTACAGCTGGTTCTTGATTAACTAGATTGATTTGCCCTTTTTCAGCTTTATATGGAAAGGATTTGTATTCAGTAGGAACAATACTTTGGATTTTGCTCTTTTTCTGGGCTGCTGGGGCATTGGTGACATGCTGCAGCTCCTAGTCATCTTTGTGATTATGAGGGGAAGCAAGCAAGACTATACTGGGTGCTGTGTTGCCAGAAGTTTTGGAAACTGTGTTTGTTGTTTTTTAAATTTTTTTATTTATTTATTGTTTTGCAGAGTTGGAGATCAAACCCAGGGCCTTGCCCATGCTAGCTATACACTCTGCCCCTGAGCTATGACTTCAGCATGTTTTGTTTTTTGAATCCCATTGTTACTACAAAATGCCCATCTCTATGTGTACATGAGATATTTAATACTTTATTATAAAATGGGCTTTGTAGTAAATTATATTGCCCAACCGCAGGTTAATGAAAATGTTCTGAGCATATTTAAGGTGGGCTTAGCTAAGCTGTGATATTGGGGTAGGTTATGTGTATTAAGTGTCATGTCCCCCCCCCACCCCGTGTGTGTGTGTGTGTGTGTGTGTGTGTGTTTTGCTGGGGATGGAATCCTGGGCCCTGCACATATTGGGCAAGTGCTCTGTCATTGAGCTAGCTATACCCCTAGCCCTTAAATGTATTTTTGACTTTACAGTATTTTTAACTTGTGATAGACTTATTGGGCTATAAGTTCATTGTAAGTTGAGGAGCATCTGTATATGTGATTTGGTAATTCTTGTGTCTTAAAATGTAAGTGATTTTTACACTTTGGACTTCAAGTAGCTTCACCTGATTGTTATCAATTGCTTTATTTTGTTTTGATGGTCTAATACTTTTAGGTGATTAAGAATCTACAAAAAAGGAATTGGAAGAGTACTTTTTTCTCACTAAACTATAGAATTACAGTATTATTTTTGTTATGAACATCAAACCCATGGAGGACTTGGGAAGAATTATATTTGAATCATTACAGGGTTCCCACATGAAATTCTTTTGGTTCTAAAAACTTCTTTGTGCTTAGGAATTACTTTTAGGATGAACCACATTATAGCACATAATTTCTTTCACAGTTGCAAGCAATCCTTTTATATATTTATGTTCATGTGTACTTATATAAAATTAGGATATTTTTTTCTATTAGACATTTATAAACAACTTTGAGGAAATTGTTTTTGAAGTGCACAGATGGTATATTTTCATAAATATTCCTGACCAGTAACCATAAATGTACTCCTCATTGATTTCACCAGTGTAGCATTTCTTCTGTTCCTGTCACCCTGAAGTGTTATGTTTTTGTTACTACACTTAGTACCTCAGTTCATGTTTGAATGTTTTTTAATGTTCTGTACTACTGTCTGGATGAAGACTCAGACAAAACTGTTAGAACTTAATTACTTTTTATCAATCAAGTATGTGTCAGCTTGGGAAATCTTTGTCATTTCTCCTTTAGAGTTCAAGATTTTTTGGCTGGAGATTATTCTGGGTAGTGTTGGAACATGGAGTCCTTTCATGGTATAGGAAACAGTAAGTATTATAATCTTTACACTTATTAACTTTCAGTATATAAATTTAAAACCTTACATTTTTTCACCTATCTCTTGCTTTTATCTTGATTATTTTGAAGGCCTGATGCAGTCCATAATATTTATCGCCAGGGATGCAAACACCTCACTCAAGCAGTATGTACGGTAAGATGAGATATGCATCTTTTGCACATACTGTGAAATCAGTTCCACAAATGATTGCCCCAAACTGTAAAATCTTGAGATTCTATGCAATGGCCTCGAAAGTGCTTGTATGTATTTAATTTGAGAAAAATTAAAGATGTGGAATCTGTTTTGGAAAAAAAATGTATATAATCAGCTTTTATCTCCACATATTGTGATGTGAAAAATGGGTGATCCAAAAACATCTATGTAGAGCTTTTAACATTTGGTGGGTGTGGGTGTCTTCATGAATCTAGATGAATCTAGATGCTAGAAGGTTTTTTTTTTGTATTAAAGAAGAATTAAAAGCCTGTGTCAAAATCAGCAGTCTTAGGTTCTCTCTATTCACTTCCAGCTGTTTTACTAGCCACGAGAATAAGCAGGTTTTCCTCTTTAGAGACTGATCTGTCTAAAGCCCAGACATACTTTCTTGTTTCTGGCTTTAAGTCCATTAGGGTTGCCAGCATTACCATAGCAGTCTATCTGTCTATCATACCACCTGCCTTTCTCTGTGCAAACTCTCTCAGGACCAGTGGGACTCCCTTGGTGGGATGAGTGTGGCTTGTTTCTAGCTTAGTCCCCTACAGTACACCCTGGAGGTCCAAGAACCTGGCCCCTTCAGTGCCCTCACACCCCAACCTCCTTTGACATGAAACCAGAGAGCCAGTGAACCTCTGTAATCTTATCCATCTAATGTTTTTTTCCTTCTGTTGGTGAAATCTCTTCTGTTCCTGCCCTCGATTCATCTATTTAATGCAAAGGTTTTTATTCAGTAGGGTCCTTTATTCTCATTCTTACATGTTTTGCATAAGTTAACTCTTTGTACTTTTTAAATTTCTTGGCCTTTAGCTTCAGTGGAATTGATTATGTTATGCCATGTTATGTCTCACTTTGTTTAAAACTTTCTATTTTTTGTATAATTGTCTGATAAAGCCAACATCTGTGAATCATAAATCAGTGCAAGCTAATGGGCATTCAATTGAGTGACTTCGATAAAGCAGGCTCTACCCTCTTTCCAGTTTCCTTAGAAGCTTAGATTATTGAGATCTTTTTTTCTTATGTCGGAGTGTATAACTATAAATTACTTTTATAAAAATTGTGGGGCTAGGAATGTAGCTCAATGGTAGAGCATTTGCCTCATGCAGAAAGACCTGGGTTCAATCCCCAAAATTAAAAAAAAATTGTAAAATGCACATAATGTAGAACTTAATTGTTTTTGAGTGTATAGCTTAGTGGCATTAAGTATGCTTACATTGTTGTGATGCTGTGAACATCATCCATTCCACAGAACTGATGCTATATCCATTAAACACTAATGCCTGTAGCCATCCCCACACACATACTCTGCGAAGCCTCTAGCAGCCACCATTCTGCTTTCTATCTCTATGATTCTGACTACTCTAGATATCGCATGTAAGTGAAATCGTACAATATATGTTCTTTTATGATGGGCTTATTCCACTGAACATAATGTCCATAAGATTCAAATACAGTCTCATTGGGGTTGAGACTTCGATATATGTGTTCAGTGGAGACAAACTCAGTCCCCCTAAATAATTACCGCAATCACTTCAGCTCTCACATGGTCACGTGGTACAATCATTAATTGCTTAAGGACTGGAGATACATTCTGAGTAATGTCTCTTTGGGTGATTGTATCATTGTGAACATCACGGGGTGTGTTTACACGAACCAAGATTGTTGCATCACTGGCCATATAGTCTTTTGGGACCATCATCATATCCTGTTGCTGATTGATACTTCATTATGTGGTACATGACTGTCTTTTCAATCTTTTACATCTATTTGTGTCTTTGAATCTAAAGCCTATCTTTTGTTGGTAGTATATAGTGGTTTCTTCTATTTTAATCTAATGATCTCTGCCTTGTGATTAGAATGTTTAATGAATTTACACTTAATGCGGTTATTGATATGGCTGGATTTATATTTACTGTTTTGTTATTACTACGTTTATGCTTTTCTGCTCTTCTGTTTCTTCAGATTAGAAATATTATTGGTGTACCACTTTTTAATTTTACTGTATTTATTTTATAACTACTATGTTATTTGAAATCAGTTGATGAAAATATGTTTATACTCTTTATAAAAATCACTTGTGCAGTTACCTTTACCCGTGCTCTTTATTTCTTGCTTGGGGTCATTTTCAGCCTAACAGACCTCCTTTACACTTTCATGTAAGGTGTGCCTGTTCACAGCAAGGAATTCTGTTTTTATTTATTTTCTCTTTGTTTCAGAACACCAGTTTTGCAAGACAGAAGTTTTCTTTCAGCACTTGGAATTTTTTTCCCCCTTCCTACCTCTGGCCTCTATTGTTTCTCATTTGATGAGTCATTTTATTTATTGCTACTTTTCAGATTTTCTCTGTCTTTCAGCAATTTGGCTAAGATCTTTCTAAGTGTAAATCTCTCTGGACTTAACATATAGAGAATTATTAAGCTTCTTGGGAATATAGATTTAACATTTTCATCAAACTTGGGAAATTTTCAACATTTTTGCTTCAGAGATATTTTCAACCTCTTCTTTCCATGATCTTCTGTGATTCCAGTTGATTATTAGTACACATAACAACCTATAGTTTTCTGAGTTAGTGTTTATTATTTTTTTCCATTCTGTTCTTCAGATTGATCTATCTTCTACTTTAGTGATTCTTTTTTTTTGCCATCTCAAATCTTCTGTTGATTCTCTTAGTGAACTCTTCATTTCAATTATTTGTGACTTTCAACTTTAGGATTTCTATTTGGTTCTTTTTTATAACTTGTTTCTATTGATGCTTCCTATTTGATAACTTATTGTATTGCCTTGTCCAGTTTGTTAAAAATATACTTATTTATTTATTTCTGTATTGGGGATTGAACCCAGTAGTGCTTTACCCCTGAGCCACATCCCCAGCCCTTTTTATTTTTTATTTTGAGTCAGGGTCTCACTAAGTTTCTCAGAGTCTTGCTAAGTTGCTAAGGCTGGCCTCAAACTTGCTATCTTCCTGACTCAACCTCTCAAGTTATTGGGAATACAGGTGTGTACCACCATGTCTGGCTATTTTTTTAAAGCATATTTTTAAGAGATTTTAAATTTCTGGCTCATTTGTGAGTTTTTTGCTTGTCCCCAAAAGTAAGTAGACCTCATATGCTGTGATGTTGGCCTTTCCTGATTGCTGCTGAGGTAGTTTTTTGTTTTGGTAAGAGGGATTGAATGCATGGTGCTTAACTACTGAGCAACATCCTCAGCCTTTTTAAAATTTTGAGACAGGGTATTGCCAAGTTGCTTAGGGCCTCACTAAATGGCTGAGGCTGACTTTGAATTTGCGATCCTCCTGCCTCAGCCTCCTAAACTGCTAGGATTATAGGCATGTACCACCACACCCAGTTGTTTTTCAGTTTTTAGTTGGCTGTTATGTCAGTTGCTGAGAGAGGTGTTAAAATCTCCAACTATACTTGTGGAATTGCAAATTTCTTGCCCTGTTATGGATCAGACTCATATTTATGATTGTTTTCTTAATTGACATTATACATTAGTCATCTTTATCCCTTATAACACTTTTTGTTTCAAAATCTTATTTTGTCTGATATTAATATGACCACTCTGGCCTAATTGTTTGCAATAACGTCTCTTATTCTATCCATTTACTTTGAGCCAATCTGTATTTTTATATTTATTTTTCTGTGTCTTATAGATAATATACATTTTGGTTTATATTGTCCATTCTGACATATTTTGCTTTTTTAAAAATAAGAACAGCTTATTTTTTAAAATATCTTTATTTATTTTTATGTGGTGCTGAGGATCATACCCAGTGTCTCACATGTGCGAGGCTAGCGCTTTACCACTGAGCCACAACCCCAGCCCTAAATTCTGCTTTTTAATTAGATTTTCTTTTGTAACTGTGTTCTAATTTCTTGCTTCCTCATTTTTCAGCTAATTTTGGATTGTATCCTTAATATTATCAATGATAAGCTCTGGAGATTCTGGATTCTGATTTTTTTTGTTGAATGTTTTCTCCTTTGTGTTAGCTAGTCTTTTTCTTGCCTCAGCAGTTCCAGTGCAAGTTTGGGTAGGCTGTTTTTGTATGAGCTGCTTTAAATCTTTTCCTGCATGTGTGGTTTATGGATGAGTTAGAGATATGAAGAGATACATCCTGCCTCTCTCTTGGGGGATTCTCTTTCTTTCTCTAGTGTTTGCAGTTCCAGCTTGTTTTATTAATTCCCAAAGAAAGAAAAACTGGTTGTTCCACAGAAAAACTGGTTGTTCCACATGTACTCTTGTTGCTTCACATAACACAGGAACTTCACTTAGCCAGGAGAAACACCATGTGGGGGTGGGGAGAGACTAATTTCCATAGCTTCTCATTCCTTTTCCTCCAAGAGTTTGTGTTCCTTATTAGTCTGTTAGAGGTTGGTCACAGTTTCTTTATGTGGTTGCTTTTTGTTGTGTGTCTAAGGGGGTGGGGGTTACAAAATGCTTTTGTAGTTGTTTTGTGCAGGGAGGGAGGCAGTTACTTATAGGGTCTAGAAGCAGAAGTCTTCTCTTTTCCATTCTTAAATATCCTTCTTCTTTTCCAGCTCTCACATTTAAAAATTCTTCCTAATTTCTTCTATCCTCTTTCCCTTCCCCTTCTTTAACAATGTTATCTAACTACTCATTCTTTTACATTCAGCTTAAACATTTTCTACACTCAGTACAAACAAAACATTCAAGAGAGTGCATGAAGAAGAAATTGGAGCTGTAGTATATAGAGGATTTTACAGCCCAAATGCCTACCAGGTTATACTTAACAGAAAGAATAGAACTAAAGCTACACACCCAATGAACTATAAATATTTATCTTGAGGAGGGGCTGGGATTGTGGCTCAACAGTAGAGCACTTGTCTAGCACATGCAAGGCCCTGGATTCGATCCTCAGTGCCACATAAAAATAAATAAATAAAGTTCTAAAAAATATTTACCTTGAGGAATTAAGAGTGAGAAAGACAGATTTGATGAAGCTACAGTGCATTTGATACACCTAATGTATCAGTATTTTCCACAATTTTTATTAGTGTTTTAAATTGTTCAATTGGATGTTATTAAGCCACATTAATACTTTAAATATTATGTATGCACGAATGAATGTTGTCTTACTGATTTCTTTACAAGGTGAAATCCACTGATAGCTGCCTCTTCTTTATTAAATGCTTCGATGACACTATTCATGGCTTCAGGGTTCCTAAGAATAGCCTAAAGCAATCAAGAGAGGTAATTTTATGGGTTAATTTATTTTTCATAAAACATGGTGTTTAAAGATGAGTGAAAATGTAGATTCAATATTAATATCTAAGATGTTGATTATAGTTTTAACGGGAACAGTTACATGAAGCTTCAAAAACTTGGCTTATGATGAATTAGTTCTTTTTTCAACATGTATCTGTAGATATTTTCTATTAATAATTTATCATTTTGATTCTTTGAATTGAGGGGCTGCTAGTGACTTTGAAACAAAGATTAAATGATTATTTAATATACCCCTTAATTTATAAGTGGGAAAATGGAAGAATATAGGATTAAGGGTATTTCCCAAGGCCATGCAATGTATGAATCATAGAACATGGACTACAGCCATGTGTTCTGAGACTAATTACAGTATAGACTACGTTGTGGTTAGTTGACCAATAATACAGGAGAAAATTGGAATTCTCCTGATTGAAATTCATGGTATATCATTTAATAAAAAGTCTGTATTCTTTCAAATCAAAGCAGTGTTGATAGATCTTTTTTTTTTAAATTTCTTTTGGTAAATCCTATAAAGAATTAAAAGAACCTGTTTTCCAAAGTAGTTAACTTGGGCCCTGCAAAGAGTTTTAAACAATCCAATCCATGACTGCCTCAACATTTCATAAAATGGTAAGATTCGACCCTAAGTAATACTATAAAAAAACAGACATGTATTATAGGCCAAACATTCTTTTTGTAAAATCAAGCTTTAAAAAAAAATATTGTAAGTTAAGGCATAAGGGCAATTGTTGGCTACCTCAAAATGATCTTAGTTTCTTGTACTTATAGTTTGATAAGATAGTAAAGCTGGGCTCCATTATTAGGTAATAACTTACAGTGCTAAGAACCTGTTATTCTAAGTTTAAAAATCACTTATTATTTAATTTCTGTAATGTATTTGAGTATTAGTGAATATGTAAACTTATAGATGATATTTTAAAATATATATTGGGAAAATTTTTTAGCCAGACATGTCATGGATAAGAGATAGCATAATTTGAATTTTGAGCCATAATATTTATTTCCTTCATGTAAATTTCATGCTTTACATATCATCGACATGCAATCTCTATACTCTTTGGAGTAAAAATGCCTTTCACTTTAATTTAAATCCTTGGATTATTTCAGAACTGGCTGGAAGCAATTGAAGAGCATTCTGCTTATAGCACTCACTACTGTTCCCAGGACCAGTTGACTGATGATGAAGAAGAGGATGCAGTTTCTGCTGTAGACTTGAAGGAGTCCTTAGAGGTAAACCGAACATAATCTCACGTTTATAGCTGTCATGCAGGTTTTAATCAAGAATTACTTTTTATTAAAAGGTGACATTTTGAAATTATGGTGTCTGACAACAGTGGAAATAGTATTGCTCTTTAGTTTTATTCTATTGGTGATTATGTCTTTGTCTTGGTGATACTATAAAATGTCTCTATAAATATGCTGTATGGATGTGGACCTGTACCTAGACCTATCTATTTTAAACTCTACATGGCTGTAATTAGACTCCTGTTCTATTTAAAATCTGCTGCCAGTAGAGGGAGCATGCAGAGCTTGACTTGCTGCCCTTTATGACTTCACTGCTTATTTTAGAGTTTAGATAATGCAATCATAGTGACACATTTCTTGGTCAGTAGTTTCATTCAAAACCACTTGTAATCTGTAACTTCATTGCTTAAAGGTAAAGTCAGGTGTCAGTAATGAATGGAGAGGCCCTCGTCTGAAGTGACATCAATGCCTTATCCATTGAGGAATATCCGAATATATAATTAAAATAAAATAGGTTTGTTTTTGGCAGTGGGGGGAGGGACATCAATTTTATGACTATACCTTTTAAATGCACCTTGTTTATCAAAGAATGGGAATTGGGTGTGGAAGAACTAAAACTACGAAAGGATGATCAATTTCAACCTAAATGATTATGTTAAAGCATATGACTTTTCCTACTAAATTTAATCAGAACATAAATTAAATGATTAAATGAGGGCTGGTGATATAGCTTAGAGCACTTGTCTCCGATATGCAAGGTTCTAGGGTTCAACCCCTAGTACCTCTACCCACACACAGAGGGGGGGAAAAAAAGCTTATGAGTATGAATTAAATGGTTTAGTTGTGGGATTTGAATGTTTATAGATCAACAACTCTAATGAAACTAAGTTTGCTAACACCTGCAGATTATTATTGATATGAGCCTGTAACCCTAAATATAAAAAGGATTTTTGAATCTTAAAATTTGTGTTGGAACATTAGAGAATTCAGGCTCTTCCATGTTTTGTTGAAGTCATTTTGTAGAATTTGTTGACAATTGCTCTACCAATGCTACCTCTGTTTTAAAGCCTAGGGTGTATTGTGAAAACTATAAACATAATTCTCAGATCAGTGAACTTTGCGAAAAATATTGACTAGAGCATTTACAATAACACCAACAACATTAAAACTGGGAAAACAAGGCTTAAATATAGCCAAAATCATGTTACACAAGTAAAATATAAAACTGAATTAAGTACTTTAAAATTTATTTGGTATTCCCTAAGTGAAAAGAAATCCTTCCCTATTTATCTCCCCTTAATATGAGGTATATGATTAAACCTGGAAGGATTTACAAAGCATACCAATATCTTTTCCAAGATTTTGGTAATTTTAAGATCTTTTTAATGGAAGCTACAAATAAAATAAAAGCATACTAACTTGCATACCATTAAAAACTTTTTTATTTGGTTGTACTGGGGATTGAATTGAGGGGTGCACTGTCACTGGATAACACCATAACCTCCCCTTTTAACCATTTGAGGACAGGGTCTTGCTAAGTTACACAGAGGCTATCCTTGAACTTTAAAGATTTATGCCTCTGCCTCCCAGATAACTAGGATTACAGCAGAGCACCACCACACATGGCCCATTAAAAAACTTTTAAGATTTATTCTTTAGGACTTTTCAAATTATGAAAATTTGAGCTTATCAACCTCAACTATACTTTGTATTTTATTTCTTATTTAAATATTTTGTTTATATGTGAACTTAAAAACTATGAAAATTTTGCCTTATGGTGTGTATAGGACATACCTGAAGTCAGTGAGAATTTTAGACAGTGTTAAGCACTTTCATGTTTTGCAGACTAACGTATCTCTATCCAACTATGAATGCTAACTCTGTATACCCTGATTCTGCCTCAGCATCTGGAGGCTGGTTTAAAATAGGTGTAATCTCATATGCTTTTGAAATGTGTTGAATCGTAACTTGTAGTATCCTGCCTTGAGGATGTCTTTGATTCTTAAATTAAGTTACAAGGAAATTTGGAAGCCAGTTTTAGGAACAGATCTATTCTTGGTGGGTATAGATATTCTAAAAGAAATTTGTTACTCTAGAATTGGAATACATTTTTATTGTTCTTTAGTTATACATGACAGTAGAATGAATTTTGGCATATCAAAATACATGGAGAATAACTTCCCATTTTCATGGTTATACATGATGTGGAGTTACATTGGTCATGTATTCATATAGGAACATAGGAAAGTTATGTCCAATTCATTCTATTGTCTTTCTTATTCCCGTCTCCTCTCCCTACCTTTCATTCCCCTTCATCTAATCCAATGAACTCTGTCCACCCCTGCAATATGAGTTAGCATCTGCATATCAGATCATTTGGCCTTTGGTCTTTTGGGATTGACTTATTTTGCTTAGCACAATAGTCTCCAGTTTTATTCATTTACTGGCAAATGTCATAATTTTATTCTTTATGGCTTAGTAATATCCCATTGTGTATATATACCATATTTTCTTTATCCATTTATCTGTTGAAGGGCACTTAGGTTTGTTCCATTGCTTAGCTATTGTGAATTGAGCTGCTGTAAACATTGATGTGGCCACATTACTATAGTATGCAATTTTAAGTAGGAAAGGAATACTTTATAATTATCTGAATTAATTATAATTACAAAACTGATGGTATTTCCTTGATATTAATAAGTAGACTTAAAAGAAATTTGGGGGAAAATGTTCATACTGAAAATGTGACGTATTTTATATTTTTCATCTTCCCAAACTGAGGAACTCAAGAAAGTTGAAAAGTTGAACATTTTCTGTTAGCCCTGTGATTCCCGTTGCCTTCAGGTTAGGCCTTAAGGAAAAAAAGCCTAAGACAAAGCATAGACACATTGGCCTTTTAATGATACCTTAATGGCATCTTGAAAATATTTCATAAAAAAAAATTGGAAGAGAAAGTCAAACGTAAATATTGGTATAGAACTGCATATTAACAGTTCCTATGAGACATTCATGGCTGTTAACATTTAGATTAATTAAAATTAAACTAAAAATTTAGTTTCTTCTTTTAAATAGTTACATTTCAAGTGCTCAGTAGCCTCATGTGGCTACCAACATATAGATAGTGTTTCTGTCACTATAGGAAGTTCTAATGGGGAGTACTGGGATAGGCTCTTGGATACTTGTAGCAAAATGAGGGTTTTATTGAGGATATCTTTATGGTATAGGATCTGAACTGCATTTGTATTATAAGTTAGGAGATAACGTTAAATTTTAACCAAATGAAAAAGTAATATAAAACTTTCCTTGTTTAAGAATAAATGATTCCTAACTAAATTGAATATGCAGAAAGATATATGTGCATCAACATGAGACTGATAAAGATTAATACATATGCACATGAGTAAGATATATAAAGTGCAAAGGGCAAGGTATAAGATGGTGTATCAAATATGCTACTAATATATTAGGAGAGAAAAACAGCAGGATGTACATACATCTATTTGTGTAGGCCTAGAGTAGCCCTGGTAAGATGAGAAATTAGCCTTTGGTGCCTTGAGGCTAGGAATGGGGCAAAAGAGGCTCTAGGACTGGCAGTCAGGATGGGAGGGGAAGTATTTTTTCTTTCTACATTTTAAATTTTTGTGTAAATATCTATTGCAAAATAAAACATCAAGGAAATTTACAGAGCAGGACCACAATAACCACCAGGTCAGAAAGAATGTGTGAGGCTTGACAACAAGGGAAGATGGAATATGCTGTTAGCTTTGAAGAGGATTTGGCAGGACTTAAGACAGATGACTGTTTTCTTCTAAGACGAAAGTTATCAGGACTCTATACTCTATTGAAAGTTTGAATTAATATTATTGAGGTATAATATTATACAGTAAAATGAATTCATTTTATGTCTTTAGTTTGATATATTTTGACAAATGTATACACCCTGTATAACTACTACTACTATCAAGATTGAGAACATTTTTATCACCTCAAAATTCCTGCACTTCCATATCCAAGATGATGTCCTAGAAACTTTAAATGTCTGACAGTTAAAATACTGTCAGATGCATCTCAGGCAACCACCAATCTGCTGATACTGACGTAGCACCAGTGTCATTATGGCATTGTCAGTGTTCCTGTTCTAGAATTCTGTGAGAATGGAATCATATAGTATATGTGCTTCAGTGTCTGTCTTCTTTAACTTCCTGTACTGTTGTGTGTATTATTGCTGGATAGAAGGTAATCTGCTTCTGTTCTTTTTTTAACCAAATGTGGATTTTCTGTTGCAAATAATCTGGAATTAATTACCGTTCTTTTACTTTATCCACTCCTCTCTAGCCAACTACTACATTTGAATACTATTTGAGCTGCCATGTAGGTGAGAACAAGGTAGTTTAACATCAGCTTAAGTCAAGCAAAACCAATAGCTAAAGTCTTATGTGGACAAAGGTTGTAATAGGAGACCTGTGTTGTCAGCGTGGCTCACCTGGGGTACCTTCTATTCCTCTGGGCCTCCATGGGATGTGATCCTTGATATGTGTGCTGTGCCCAGAATCCTTGGGGAAAGTTAAAATACTGTCAGCTTTCAGTATTAGAACATTTTTCACAGTGGGATCTCATTTATGTAGAATAAGTAAATAAAAATTAAAAAGAGCCCCTGACATAACATGAATAGCATAGAAATCAGGAATGAGAACTGTCCCAGACTCTACAAAGCATTTGTAAGCATTACATTATATGAGTAGATATTTAGGATTTTATAATATAACCAGCAACTACTGAGGGGAAATGATAAAAAACTGAGAATGTCATATTTTGTTACATTAATCACCTCTCCATTCTTTTTTAGTATCAGTTAAATGGCACTAAATTGTTTAGAAGGCACATGTATGCCTGGCTCAACACAGTTATGTGTAGTTGGCTCTTCTCCAGCCAACCTACTACATGCCTTTTTAAACAAAGCAAAAAATCTTTGATCCAGGAAACTATTTTTTTTTTAAATTGTCAGATAGACTAAGGAAAGGTAAATGTATTTGAATGTGGTGCTGTGGAGGACGTTTCCTGCCTTTTAATTATAACCTTAGAGTCATAGTCATTGCTTACTTTTGTGTGTCAAGACAACTTTCACCATAGAAAGGAAAAGAGAAAACAGTAGTGTTGAGTTGCACATGAGCAGGAATGTTAAATATGTATAGAGTAAGAGCAACGATTTTCTGTTAATAAGTCATGAGTGATACATTTGGTTGCAGTGCATGTTTCCAGACTGACTTTTCTCCTTTTTGAACCTGTATTCACATGTATCTGAAAAAAATTATCAGACATATCAATTTAGGTTTTATGATATTCTAAATTATGTTGTATAGGTGTTCCTCCTCTCCAACGAAAGAAAAAAAATACAAATTATTTTTAGGTGTTGTTAGAACTCTCAAAAAATTATATAAACTTAAAAGAAAACATTGCCTATCAGTAATATGGTACCATGAATAATTCTATTGAGATGGAGCTGAGCTTCATAAGTACTAAAAAATTTATAAGGTGAAATAGGAGAAAAGGGTGCTTACCTGTGTCACCTTGGCATGTTGAGCTATGGTAGTTTTGATTTTGGGTGGGCAAAATGCTTTTTCATAGGCCAGTTGAAATTAGAGTACAAAGGAGGGAAGTGTCAGAAGGCTAAATATATTGCTCTGCCCACTACAGTGTCATTCTAAAATTTATAAAGTAAAAATTCTCAGAATAAAATTTTGATTGTCATAACCAAGCAGATTTACAATTATAATTTTTTGGCTTATTCTTCCCACATCTTTAAAGGGAAACTATATATAAAACTAACTACAAAATGACATTGTTTCCTCTTGTACTTTAAATCTGTACTAAGATGTGATATCCTTTATATCATAAAATTCTATATTTGTTTTGAGATCTAATTGCATAGAACTTTCAAATTATAAGAAAGAGTATTTTCAGTGATTGATTTTACCCTATTTTCATAAGCTTCGACTTACTAAGAAAATGTCCTCATTGGTCTGATTTTGTGGGGGCAGTATGTATTAGATTGCTGGATGAAAGTCAGCTGGTGGTTTCCAAGTGGCAGGACCATCTGGATTTTTTTTTTTTTCTTTTAAGAAAAACAGTTTTCAAAATATATTCCTGAAGGATGCATTTTATAATTTCTTGATGAATTTAAGCAGACTGATTATAAGTTAATAAATCAGAAAAATCTAACTCCTCATGTATCCTTGGCGTAACAAAGATAGTAGTGTTAATTAATTTAGTTGTATATACCTACATGAGAGATGTTGAATGTGTTTAGAATTAAGAAATATTTATTCTATAATTGATTTAACATTATATTCAGTTTCTAAGGAAATTTTCTCTCATTGTTTTCTTTGAAGCTTAATAGTGTTTATCAAACTACAAATGAAAGTTTTGATAGAAACATTAAACATAAGTAATATAAAAATCCTTTATTGATTTGTCTTAATTTTCTTTTTGTTTTCTAGAAAGCACAAGCATGTCAACAGAGACTAGATAGGGAAATTTCCAACTTTCTCAAAATGATTATGGAGTATGACATGGCTAAAGGTAAAAACAACATTACCAAAAATATCACTCTTTTAATTCAACCCATTTTTATAGGTATTTCCCCTTTATGGTTTTGTTTGTACATTTTAGACGATTTTGGGGTTTGAATTCAGAATTATGTTTGATAAACTATTTTATAATTTTAAAAAGGATGTTCAAAAATATCTACTCCTTGAAGATGCTTGCTGTATAGATTAATACTGATTTTATTCTTTTAAGAAAGATAAAATAATTTAAATGAACATTTTGAGGTCTTTAAATTTATTTTGGCAACATAATAAGGATTCTGCTTGTGAATACCAGAAGACTTGGGTTTTGGAGTCAGACTGTCTTAGGTTGGAGTCCTTACTCTGCCACTTACTAGGTGTTACTTTGAACAGTACACTTAATTTCTCTGAGCCTCTTTTCTCCCATCCTTACAATAAAGGGATTAGTTCTTTTCAGTCTTGGCCTTTTATAATTCTGTATATGTTTATATGAACTTGTCTATATGATTATTAATCTTTCAATAGGAACTTTTTAATGTCTTCAGTCTGCATTATTTATGAATTATCAAGAATTAACTGTAGATAGCTTAAAATCAAGCTTAAATATTGAGAAGAAATTGCTTATGATTAAAAAATTATCATGGTTTTTAAACTCATAACAGTTGCTTTATAATTAACTTAGTTACTTGGGTTTTTGACGATCGATTTTTAATCATGAATTAGTTTCTCTCAATGGAATCCTAGTTTGTATGTTCCCAGGAAATGTGAAGAAATGTTAATATTAGAATAAACTGAGCATAATTCTATATTTGTCCATATGTACTTTAGGCATTCCTTTACTTCAACTCAGCAAACATGTTGTATTGCTTTTTATTTTTTTTTAACATTTATTTTTATCTGGGATAGCTTTGGTAAAGACAACAGTTAAAGTCATTTTGATTATTAACTTCAGGCTGGAATATTGTATTAGCACAATTCAGTTCTTAATGTACTTTTAAAATAGTTAACAGCTTCATTAGATATAATTCACTTAACAAAATATGAATTTTGTTTTTTGAATGTGGTGCTGTGGAGGATGTTTCCTATCCTTTTAATTATAACCTTAGAGTCACAGTCATTGCTTACTTTTGTGGGTCTAGACAACTTTCACCACAGTAAATGTACATGTAAAGTGTACAATTTGTTGTTTTTTAGTATATTCGGAATCATGCAATTATGACTGTCATTGAGCTTTTAAAATGTCATCTTCACCAAGAATCATTGAAAGGAAGAAAAGGATGGTAATGACATTTAAAAGATGTAAAAAAAAAAAAAAAAGTCCAGAGTGAGATGAAATATAAAGATTTATTCATTTAACTTGGACTAGAGCAAAAAAATATCAGAACTATAACCAAACTAAGTTTAAAAACAAAACAAAACAACAACAAAAAAAAACCTTTTAGTCAGGGGAAGGGATGTGGCTCAATGGTAGAGCATTTGCCTACCATGTGTGAGGCCCTGGGTTTAATTCTCAGCACAGCAAAACAAACAAAAACCTTTAGTCAAATCTCTTTGGTTCAGTTTACCCTATGAGATGATGGTATTCGTGTCTGTAATACTGATGACTGAGCAATACAATTTGGAATAACTGATAAGAAATCAACATAGTGTAAGGATATGTATAATATTCAATACTAGGAGAGATTTTTTATTTTCCTAAGTGTCTTCTCAAAAACTGTGATATGACAAGCCTATTTTATATGTCTACAGTAAAATTCAGTGGGCTAAGGTGCTCAATAAATATCTGATGAAGGAGTTAAAAAATATTTGTCTTCTTCACAACTATGAGCAACTTTCTGAAAGATCAATGCAGATGAGTAGAACGTCTTTTTAAATATATGTATAAACAGTAAATACATAGGGTTAAGATAATTTCAGAAATGAAATTGGAGAGTTTAAGGTAATGAAGACTATAATAATGCCAAGGGTCTGTACAGAATAATCTTGTATTCAGTGTTTTATTAAAGGAAACTGGTACAAATTCTTAGCTAGTCTGTCAAAGACTTTTCAAGATGAAAACCAAAATGTTTGTGGACAGAATTCAGATGTTGTGGTTGTAAATATCAGCAAAATTATATTAGCTTTGACACTTTGATCCCCTTCTTATTCAAATTTCTACTGTTACTAGTTCAATTTGGTATCTCCTTAAACCGACTTTATGACACCAGCCTACCCTTTGGTCTCCCTGTCTTTGGGACTCCCTCTGTATTTTATCCTTGCAAGTTAAATCAGTAGATCTTAAGGGATTCTTCTGAACCACATTCTGTGAAGAGTTGGATTATTATTGTCAGTTTAATTTTACAAAGGTTCTTGGTGATCATCATCATCATTGTCATCATAATTTTTGACATGAGATCTCACTATGTTGCCCAGGCTGGCCTCATACTCCTGGGCTCAAGCCATACTCCTGCTTCAGGCTTCCATGCAACTATGACTAGAGCATGCTGCTACATTTGGCTCATGATTTTTTTTTTTCATCTGTTGAAAATCTTTTATAGATCCTTACAACTATAGAATAAAACATGAACTCTTTATTCTGGCATTTAAGGACTTTCATGGTCTAGTCACCTAAAATTGGGTCATCTGAAATTTTCAATTTTTTTTCCCAATTTTTCTTTCCCATGACCCCTTTAGAAAAAACCTTTGACCAAACACAAGCTTTGGTTAGTGTCTTTGGTGGGAAATGTCCTCTACTGAAATACTTTCATGTTTATGAATAGAACTTAAACCTAATTTCTATTGAGTGCATGTCAGAGTTTATGTATCTGACATTGGCAACACATAATTCAAGTTTCAGAGAATTCAGTATTAAAATGTCTACTGTTTTATCTTTACCAAAAGCCTGGTCACAAAAATAAAATAACCTAATGAAACTTTTGTAAGTGCTCCTGAAGGCCATGTTATCAGTCTGTTTTTCTATACATGCCTGAATTTACCCTTATGTGGTTTTGACTATTATAAATATGTTGTGCATTTATATTTGATCCCATCACTATGTTACCCTATATTCTTAGAAGTAGGATTAGTGGATGAAAGTGTTTAACATTTTGAGCTTGCTGATACACATAGCTAAATCAATTTCCAAAAGTTGGTTCTTTACATGCCAACTTTAATGCACATACTTTATTGTATGTTATTAAATGTGTATTATGAATGCCTGATTAAGGAAATTGAAATTATTTTAGTTATCTAAAAGAAAAATTTTAAATGAAAAGCACAACTATTCAATCTACTTAAAACTTTTTCTCGAAATCCTAGGCTTTGAGGGAACAGACTAATCACCACCTTCACTGGCTCAAATCACCATTGTGTTTCATGTGGATTATTAAAACAACCTCCCAAGTGGACCTGATTCTATGTGCCTCTACAGAGGCAAGTAGAGAGATTTTTCTGAACATTCATGGATTTGCCACTTTTACTTAAAATGTCCAGTGGCTTCCTGATTGTCTCATTTGGTGTGAAAGACAAAGTCCTTCTAATGACCTGCTGAGCCTTCTAGGGCTCAGGGCTAGGGCTATAGTTCAGTGGCAGAGTGCTTGCCTAGCATGCATGCATGAGGCACTGGGTTTGATCCTCAGCACCACATAAAAATAAATAAAATGAAGACATTGTATCCATCTACAACTACAAAAAAATTTTTTAAAAAATTCTCTTCAGCCCTTAAACATGTCTGGTCTTCTTTGCCAGGGCCCTTACTGATACCTCCTTCCCTAAAATTTCAACTCCTCTCAACACTTGCTCTCCCTCTACCTTGCTTTATTTTGTTCTGTGTCACCTCTCAGATTGTGTGTGTGTGTAGTTGTCTGCCCTCCCCCACTAAGAGAGAAGGCAGGGATTTTGTCTTCACTCTCCAGCATCTAAACCGTGCCTGGCGCACATGATGGTGCTTACTCATGGACAAGCTCTCTGGCTCTCATGTGCATGGGTGAAGGAAATGAGTGACCTACTTACCTACCTTATAAATTTATAACATTTCTCTCAGACTCAGAAATGGTGATTTTTTTTTTTTTTTTTTGGCAGGTTAGTAAGTATAAAGATAGTATAAGTCAATGAGACCTTTTAGAGACAAACTAGAGAAGAAACGCTGAGAACTGTGGAATGTTTTGCATTCTTTTGTTCAGAGAAGTCCCATAGTTAATGCCCTTGGTTTTTGTATCTTCCTCCTCTCCTTTGGATCCAATTTTTTTCTTACTTGAGGTTAATCTTTGAGTAATTCTTTAAGAAAATCTGAGTTGTAAAATATCTCTTAATCTTTTTTCATCTTCACTAGGTTATAATTATCTTCTAATTAACATTTAAAAAATATGATTCTATATTCTTCTGATTTCTATTGTTCTAAATATGATTCTTCTGGAGTTAATCTTTTTTTTTTGTTTTTTTTTACTTTGGTATTCTTCAATTTTGTCTATAGGTCTGGATTTTCTTACTCTGGATCTTGCTTGAGACCCTGTTCTTTAAGGATTCATTTGTTTTCTTCCTTCAATCTATGAAAGTTCTTACCTGTTATATCTTCAGATTTTACTTCTTTAATTTCTCTTTTCTTTTCTGCCAGAACTACTGGCATTTATATGTTGAACCTTATTATTTTATCTCCTGCTTCTTAATTTCTCATATCGTTTCTGTTTTTTTGTTGCCCTTTTGTGGTGTTGTTGTGATGCTAGGGTTGAACCCAGGGTTTTATACATGCGTGGCACACACTCTACCACTGAACTACACCCCCAGCCCTTTCATGTTGCATTCTGAATAATTTTCTCAGTTCTATTTTCTTTTTTGTACCAAGGATTGAGCCCAGGGACACTTAACCACCTAGCCACATCCCCAGCCCTTTTTATTTATTTATTTTTTGAGACAGTGTCTCACCAAGGTTCTTAGAACCTCACTAAGTTGCTGAGGCTGGCTTTGAACTTGCAACTCTCCTGCCTCAGCTTCCTGAGTCTTTGGGATTATAGTGTATGCCACCATGCTTGGTTCAAT